TTTTTCAATAATAAAGTCTAAATACTTTCTTTAATAATATATATTTTAAAAGCAAAAATCTTTTTTACTTGTTTATCTTTTTTTTTTAAAAAAAACCTTTGAATATTTTAGTAACAAATATTCAAAAACTTATTTATTTAATCTATGGCAAAAATATTCTATTAAAAAAAAAAAACTTGTTAAAAAATATATTTCTTTATTTTCTTTTAAAATTTTAAATTTTAAAAAAGTCTACCAATAAATATATTTTTCAAGCTTTATAAAAATTTTGGATTTACTATAAATAAATATTCTTTACTTGAAAAAAAGCAAGTAACAAGTTAATATTTTGATTTGTAAATAAACATATAATTTTTTTTATTAATCAAATGTTTGTAACAATCTTATTAAATATATAACAAATTTTTGAAAAATTTTACCTAATCTTAAAATTTTAATTATATTAGAGGAATTGGTTAAGATCTTGAATTAATTAATCAATATATAACAAAAAAATAAATAAGATAAATACTTTTTATATATTTTTTGTTACATAATACAACAATAATAATATAATTAGAAAAATTAAAAAATAAAATATTGTAATGTTTTCTTAATTTAAAATAGTTTAATAATATTCTTTTTCTTTTTTATATTAATTTTTTTCTTTTCAAAATCAAAAAATCATATTTCTTAATAGATTAATAGATTTGAAATTTTTTTATTTATTAGAACAAACTTTTTAAATATCTTTTTTTTTATTTTTTAAAACCATATATTTGTATTAAAGCAATAGTTTAAATAAAAACTAACTATAATTTTTTTAAAATTTAAAATGGTTTTGAAAAAAAAATAATTTTTAGTAATTATCTTTCAATTTAAAAAAACAAATATTTTTTTTATTTTTCAATATCTCAAAATTCTTAACACATTCTTTACCTTTACTATAAAAATCTCAAGAAAATTAAAAAAGTATACTGGTATATTGAAATAAGACCTCTGATAAAAAAAAAAAAGGACTTGCTTTTTCTTTGTATTAAATAAGAAAAGATCAATAACAATTACTTTTTTATAAATCTTTCTTAAAGTTCTTTCCATTTTCTTTTCTTATAAATATATATTTTTTATTAAATAACTATATTCTTTTTTAGAGATATTCTTTGTAAATTAAAAAATCAAATCATATATTAAAAATATTTATATTGTTAATTTAAAGAACCAGCAATATATTTATTGTTTACTTCTTATTATTACTCAATATATTTTGCTACATCACAAAAAATATAAAACTTTTTTTTAAAAAAATTTTTACAAAAAAAACTATAATCAATTTACTTCTATCAATTGATCAATATCTCAAAACCAACCAATAAAATATTATCAATTATTTAAACAAATTCATACTATCAAAACATCATATACTGATCAATATAAATAAAATCCTTTTCAATAATAACTATTAAAACAAAATTACATTACTAACAAACAAATCAATTATACTATTAACAAACAAATTAATTATTAATTATATTAACAAAACAATAATACAATCATTATAACAAATTGACTATTAAAAAAATACATCATCAACATTATTGTATACTTTAAACAATAGTCTGGCCATTTGTAATAAGTATACATATATTATATTTCAATTAAATAGAACTATTAGAGTGATATGTTTTTCCAGAATATTTTTAGTTTTATAATTAGTTTTTTGTATTTATTTTTTTGCTTGTATTTTATTTCTTTTCTATTTCTTATAGTTTTTTTACATATAAATCTGAGTAGGTATTTATGGCTACTTGATATTATTTTTAATAATATATTGATTTAATATATAGAATTTAATTTTAATATAATTCTTAGAATATAATGTGTTATTATTTTTATAAAATTAATAAATATGTAGAATTACAGTCTAATTAGAGACAAAAAAATATTATTATTATTAAAATTAATATTTATATTAATTTAATATATTATAAATTTATTAAATATTGAAAATATTATATTTAAAATTTTGAATACTAAAATATTCTAATTAAAATAATATTATTTTAAAACTTTAAAAAATAAACTTGAAAATAAATTTTAATTAAAAAGTATTTTAAAAATTTTATATTAAAAAAAATTAAATATATATAATAAAAGATAAAGCAATAAAATAATAAAGCTAATATAATTAAAAAAACTAGAAAAAAAAAACAATATAAAATTAATATTATTAAAAATTCATATTAAAATAATAATAAATATCTTTTAAAATTTATCATATGTTTTAAATATTTTAAAAAATTAAAATTCAAAATATTTTAAGTTTTCAATATTTTAAAAAGATATAATTTAAATTATTATAATTTTTATTATTTTGTTTCTTTTATTAACTTGTTTATATGAGTAATTATTTTCAAAGACAGATTAAAAATTTTCTAGTAATCCTAAAATTTATATTATATATAAGTAATTATTTTTGAAAGTGGATCAGAAATTTTCTGATGTAATTCTAAAATTTATATTATAAACTGTATATATTGTTTAAAAGTTGAATCTGAAAAAATCATATCTAATATTCTTGTTGCCTTCAAAAATAATTACCCATATTACTTATATAATTTATTTTAAAATATTTTAAAAATATTTATAAAGTAGCAATATTTGATAAAATGTATAATTAAACTAAATATATCTTAAAATATTTAAAAACATTATATTATATTTTAATTGATAAAATGAATAGTAATTTTGATTTAAGAAAATTTTTTATAAATAATTTAATCTATTGTATAACTTATTACAAAAGAATAGTTTTTATTATAAATGTAAAAAAAATATTATTATGAAATATTAGACTAGCAATTATTTAAAATAAATTAAATCTAAATTTAGTTAATAAGACTTTTTGAAGTATTTTAAAATAACATTTAAAGATTATATATGCATATACAGTATATTGTATATACAGTACGTATATGATTATTCTACAAAATAGTATTTAATGTATGGATTTTTTTCTTGTTAAACCAAATTTTTTTATTGTTATAAATAAATCAGTCATACATAGGTTTGTTATTTTAATTAGTCACGTCTATAATAAGTGTTAATTTATTTTTTAGATATACAAAAATAAAATATTTTTTTTCAATACCACAATATCTACGATACTAACTGTAATAAATACATTTTGGTATGCTTTGTGTAAAAGATTGCATTATAGTACCGGATGGTTCATATTCTGTATGGAAAAAGAGGATTGTGTTAAAGTATATTGTATACCATCAATCGTCTTCAGCGTCGTTTCTACATATTTTTATTGTAGTTTCCCCAACAGAAACTTTCCGTGCACTGTACAATACTTTTAAACTATATTATAATTGATTGTGAAATTACTTATTTGTGGAATCTGATCACACTCATTTTTTCTGGAAACTTTTGTATGAATGCGATTTTGTGATCTGTATATGGTTGCGAGTGTAATCGGGAATGATGCGATACGTATAATTAGTAATCTCGACGTATGCACCAACCGCCGCCAACATTTGCAACACCCGTTAAACATAATCCTTAAACAACAATACATGCTCTGAAATAAGAATAATATTAATCATTGCTGGCGCGATGTGATGGAAACACTAACCGATTATGCAACGTTCTCTACTAAACTTTTCAATAAAAACATCACGCAATTGAATTAGAGCTAATTTAAATGTTTTTGTCATGAAAGTTAATTAGAATTTCAGATATTTAGAATCCTTGCACGTCGTGAAAAGGAAATTCATAAAAAGAACCAATGAACACTCATAGCAAGAGTCTTAATTTAGATCAAATTCACGTAGCCTTTCAAACGTCATGATGAACTAGAAAACTAGACAACTTATAGGTAATGCGAGTACGTGTTTAAATTGATCTGTGGGTAAAGCAGATCTGGTAAGATGAAATGGCCTACCAGTCGTTTCCCGCGAAAAAATCAAAAATTAACCTGATTGGAATTACTTGAAAGACAAAAAAAGATTTTGATTTCCAAAAATCGATTTCGCGTCGAAAAAATGCGGCACATAATAATTAGTTAAATTTGGATATCTAATTATTTTATCCTTAGATATCTGTAACGAGAATAAAATAAAATAAAATACGATCAGAAAGATATTAACATCTTACTTGATCCAACATATTTGTCGCTCACAGACTAAGTGTGATAAACCATTAAAATATCATCCTTCGTATAAAGATTACAGAAACTGTGAGCAGGTAGGCGGCGGCTTAAAATTTTGAAACAACGATTTGCGGATCGTCAACAAGTTAAAGAGAATTATTATTTATTTCGTAGAGATAACGAACCCACGAGTGAGAATGCAAGAAAAGATCTGGTCAGTAAATATAAGTAAATAGACATAGGATACTGGTTTCATTGAACACTTCCAGTATGACTAGTTATACACCTAGTATTTCTAGGCTTCAACATTTTTCGAAATGAGGATGATTACATTGTTCGTTTGCTTATGAAAAACCGGATCATTCGGGAGCCATACTCAAGAGATTCATTATTGACTTCCTGATGCCTTCATCGAAGGTGCGATTTTAACCTTCGTTTCAGATTTGGTGAAAACACAAAAACACATTTTCAACTGCTCAAAATATCGGTCACTTCGGCCGTAAGTGATCGGTTAGCTTTCATTGAATTTCCCGAAGGTAATAGAATTTTGTTACAAACGATGAATTCACGGGTCGTAAATGCTACCTTACACTTGTTTAGTGATACTGAAGCTCTATCAGAAAGGGGTTTCGGTCGTGTTGAGCATATCGTAAAACAAAAACCTCGGGCACGTGATTATGTGAGCATTCTTTAATATGTTGGAGTAATTTTATAATTTTGCACTTGCACATTTCGCCAAAGACGCATGTTACGAAGCGATTGAAATCGATACTATTCGCTGTTACATTTACATTTATTAAAACAATGAATTCAACGGGAATAATATAGTAATCTAGTAATTTCTAGCATTGGTTTCATTCGATAATGCTTAAGCTTTAATATTTGAGTCGAAAGATTCTAAAACCTTGTTAATACGTCGTAAAGATGCCTCCTTTCCAATCGTTTTCATCGTGCCTGCTACTCCTGCCCCAATCTTATTTTTTTCAATGCGGAAATAATATACCAGACCGATTTTAGATTCCATTCAGAATCTGACAAAAAAACGCGTAAGAAAGTTTACCTTTATTCCAGTAAAAATATATCTCATAATCGTCATCACCTTAGGTTTTTTAATTCCTGTGCTCGTGACCACGCTGTGAACAATCTCTTTAATTTTGTCCTCCTCGAATTCTATTTCGTCGAGAGCTTTGATCTGTTCCAACGCAATCGAAGCTACTGATTCTGTACGCGTCAAAACAAATATTGCGTCTCATCAATCAATCAGTCAACAAATTGTTATAATCGAACATTTCTGAAAAACGTATATATATCAACTCAATGAATCATTCGAGATTTCTGTTCTAACTTCCATTGATTCCGATGACGAGTAGTCAGGGTCGACAAAGAAATATCCACACAATTCCGGGATATCGTGTATATTTTGGATTCGTTTCTGACAATGGATTGGTATACATCAGATAAGAGATACATTTTAAAAAGCCATAAAAATGTGGTTTACACAACTTACTATAATGGTCTTAATGACGAGTGCCAGATAACCATCTTCGAGCTTGTAATCCTCGTTTGTCAGTTCTAAACTATATTTCGAAGTCATTCTTTTATTGAGACTCTGTCAATTGATGTTTTTCAAGTACCCAACGAACATTCAATATTACCACTTCCGATATTTTCCTTCCACCAATGGTTTTAGCATAGAAACCAGCTGTGTTAATCCTTGCGGAGATTCAGATTTGATGAATATGTGATGCTTGTTCAAAAAATCAAGTTTATCATGCGACACGATGCCACCCGAACGACCAACGTGATCTAGTGAAAACTGAGATAAAATCAACCTTCTCCACACGGATATTTTAAATCCTTGATAAACAAATACCTTGGATATCAATTCACTTAGTGTAAAAACATCGTTCCTAGATCCAGGAGGACTCCATCCTAACAATGCAACGAAATTTATCAAAGCTTCTGGTAAATATCCCTTTTTCTAATTTCACTAAAAGCAGTTAATATCTCATGTCATAATACACGGATCCAAACGATCATCTATCACAAGAGTTCATACCGCAAAATCTTCAACTTTAACATCTCCTGACCGTTTTGATAACTTTGATTTATCTGGGTTCAGCAATAATGGAAGGTGCACGAATTCGGGCATACTCCAATTCAAAGTTTTGTATAGCACAACATGTTTGGGAGTAGAGGGAAGCCATTCCTAAGTGAATCAGTGTTAACTAACGCAATGTGACATGATGCCCGGAAGAACACAACTTTCATCTATCGTTACCTCTCCACGCAAGACGTGAGTGATGCCCATCAAATGGTCGTCAATAACATTCGCTAGATGATATGTTGGATATCCGTCGCTTTTCAAAAGAATCGCGTCATCGATGTGCTTCTCATTAAATTCCACATTGCCATAGACTAGGTCTCTTACGGTGACGATGCCATCCGGCATCTTAGTCACCAAGCCGTAATGAGTAAATATCCAATATGAATCGCAAAGTTCTTATAGTAAATACCTTTAAACGAATTGTGAAGGGGACACCCTGTGATAAGTTTTCGTCAATTTCGCTTTGGCTCAGGTACAGGCAATGGCGATCGTATGCAACTCCTTTGCCGTTTTTTTGAGCAAGTGTTCTCACTTGATGAAGCCTCTCGGGAGAGCAAAAGCATCTGTAGGCATTTCCATCCTAGTAACGATACAACAGCTGCATTCAGTTGAGCAAATCTCCATGTAAAGATGATCAATCGACCTCACCTTAAGAAGTCGGTCGATGTAATGCTTATATATCTCTATCCTTTCGGACTAGAATCAACTTGGTTAAAAATACGATGTGACATATGCATGTGAGAAAGAAAAAAATTTTACCTGGTAACAGGAACCGTAATGCATGTTCTTACCAGGACCCTCGTCGTAGTCCAAGCCAGCCCACGATAAAGTGGATATCATACTTTCCACAGCACCAGGAATACATCGAGCCTATATGTCGCGGAATAACGTTGTTTCGGTGAAAATTTGTTACAGCGAAGAGCATCATTGAAATATGTACGATATTCCACGCGTACTTTATCCGTGTCCTCAATTCTCAAAATAAAAGTACCACCCGTTCTCTTTGCCAACAGAAAATTAAATAACGCAGTCCTCAAACCTCCAAGGTGAAGACCTCCTGTTGGACTTGGAGCGAAACGTACGCGTACTGCGGAAGAAGGTTGCACGGAACGGGAATAATGCCTGCAACCTAATACCGTAAAATATGAAACATTGGACCATACTTTTGTTCGAATGGCTGGAACATTGGGGCCCGAGGAAAAACACCACATGGTGAATATAAATGCATGATGTACGTGAATCTCTTTTTATACGTGACGAAGATCACACTCACGGGATCACATTTTCGATTATAAGGATATGAAGATCATATGAAATCTTCTTCTTACGGTCTTACAATACTCGCAATGGCAGTGAACTTTTGGACGTCATCCCATAGGTAATGGCAATCCATAAATTATATTGTATTTGGAAATTGTTCTTTATTTAACAGTACTTGGCCCAAACAAATCTTTTTAGAATGCATTGGTTGCTTAGTCGGCAAGATCTGATAGAAAGCAGGAAAGAAGACTCACTCTATATCACCGAACAGGAACTAATAAAAGTTAATATATGGTTCGCCAAAAGTTGGTGTTTGATTT